CTGCTCCTGATGCTCCTGCTGCTGCCGCTGCCGCTGCCGTCCCTCGTGGAGGCGCTAGATTAGCCTACCGCTGTGTTGTAATGGTGCGTGTAATGCTGGGCTCCATAGTGAACCCCCCCCCTCCAATATAGGACATGTAATGTAAATGTGTTGAAGGACAAGTCTATTTTGTGTGTGTGTGTGTGTGTGTGTGTGTGTGTGTGTGTGTGTGTGTGTGTGTGTGTGTGTGTGTGTGTGTGTGTGTGGGAGGTTAAGATAAAGAGAGACACATAGGTGCAGTGTGGGTGGTGGGTTGGTTTGTGGTCACGGTGGCCTTTTCACACTGAGTAGGTGCCTAATGAACTGATACATAAGCCCGTTGGTGTAAAATACACTCACTGCTGTTTTCCGTGCTCCGTGCGCACGTGTCCTCTGCAAACTTTCAGACCCTTCAACCGACTGATTCACCAGGAGTCTGTAAACTCTCAATCTTGGCTTTTGAGGAGCCGGAAACCACAAATCTCATCTGCTGCTAATCAACTTTCTGTTCAACCAACTTATTGATTGATCGACTTATAATGTCAGCTGTAATCCACAGGCTCTGTTGTGGGAAAAGCTGCATATAAAGCAGGGAGGAAGTTTAAATTAATTCATAAAGATTAATTGTATGTGAAGGGCTGTTTTAGCTCTAATCAAAATTTCATTAGATGCTAATTAAACAGGCTTGTGCAAAACACAAAGCTTGATTTAATGTTTATTATGTTATATTGTATGATTATATATTTATATTATTACATTCAGTCTTGAATAAAAAATTTATTAACAAGTAATTTGACCTTTTTTTAATTAGCAGATTAATGTTTGTTTATTAAATGGCAGAAAATGTACCATTTTATTTTCCCAGAGATTGTTTGGTGAAATTACTAAAATAATTCAGCGGTTATGGTCACAGACTAATTTTCTGTTGATAACATATTCAGCTGTAGATTAGTTTAGTTCATCACTTCTCTTCTCTTTAAGTTTGACTGCATCTAAATGTATTTTGGTCTAATTTCTCTCGCTACCGTGATTTTAGGGGTTTGATGTATTTGTGATATTGATAATTTAATTTCCAGTGAAGCTGAGAATGGAGCTGAATCAGTTTTTTTCAATCATCAGAGACAAGACGTAAATTAGAAGGAAGCTCGTTTCAATGTGAACAAGGGGAATAGATGTTAGTGCTTGCACTCTAGCTGGAAGTAGAACGTCTTATAAATGAGTGTGGAGGAATGTGTAGGAATTACAACAATCAACACTATTCTCTGACATTTAATACACAAAACAACAAACTGATAAAACAATAAAACAGAAAGTTTCGTATTTAAAATATTTTTTAGTTGCCCTTCTAGCAAACTCTAACTTAATAACTTCAGCCATAAGTCAAATTTAAGCAAGCTGATTGGTCAATCTTTAGTGTTTATCTGCAGTATCTGTCTCCGTCAGTTGTTCACTGCGTCTGGAAGTTTATCGTTTCTAATGCCTCCGATTGTTGTTGAAATATCTTTGTTTCGATCATTGTTAAAACCGATAAGCAGCTTTGTTTAAGCTGTGAAGTCAGGCAGCCTCTGCAGATCTGTGGATGAGTATAGGGGGATGAAGAAAAACTGCCCAAAGTATTTTTATATAGTTTGCTGTCAAAAACAGAAGGTTACTGTGCTATACATTATTCAGGCTATAGCTTCATAACCTGCTGAGACTGGTCAATGCCCCCCCCCCAAAAGCATTTGACCCTGTTACTTTGAAAGTCAATTCAAACCCTGACCCAGTGGATGTTGTTGGGTGTAAGTGCTACATATCCCACAAAACAAGCCTTTGGGAGAGGTGTCTGAAAGTATTGCCCAGTCAGCAGCCGGCTGTGTCACTGAAATTGCTGATTTGTGTCAGTGTTGAGTGTCAAGAGGTCGAGGAGTTAATTTCTTTCGGCTTTTTCTTGCGAGACCTGCTGGTTTTAGAAATCCTGGATCTCTGCTGCTTTTACCACAAACATGCATGTGAAATGTGCTGTGTACATGTGGTTACACATATCATTTCTGATCCAACATGTAAACTATCTTAGGTCGACTTTCCCCCGGAGCCTGAATGTGTGCACGCTGTGGCCCATCTGTCATCTTGTGGGAATGTTAAAGGTTGAACATTGTAGATCCTGTTTTAAGATGCTGGTGTTAACATGACAAGCTGCAATTTGTGACTTTGTTCAGTATGAGAGTGTGTGTGTGTGTGTGTGTGTGTGTGTGTGTGTGTGTGTGTGTGTGTGTGTGTGTGTGGAACAAATGATGAACAAATGATCTCCTCGGGGGAAACCGCTCACTCACTTATTGCAGAGGGATGTGCAGATGACACACACACTCTCACACATGCTGTACCGTGCACCATGCTCTGCCAGCTCATGTTTTAAACATGTGGTTTCTATATTCATCTGGTGACAGTTTATAAATGTGACTGACAGATAGTTGAACTAGGGAAAAGTAGCTTCGGTCCTGAGACTTTTAGCCCAGTGTTTCCCAGCTATTTTTCCTTTAGGGGGCCTCGCTTTAGCTCTAAATATTTATTTCCACACAGCATTCAAATTTTTTCAACATAAATTTAGTTTTCTTTTCCCGAAAGGTACCCAGGAGCTGTGGGAATATTTACCTTTTGCTGAGAGTTTTGGTGATTTATCATCCACAGAGAGTTCGGCATCAAGAGGCAATTTCAGATCAGTCAGTCTGCTATAAGACACCATGCACCTCTCTGCCCACAGGCTGTCATAGTTCACTATCACAGTTTCCAGTGGTCCAGGAGGTCATTTCTAACCAACATGCCCAGTGTTCACTGAGGTGTGATTAATAGAGCTGCACCATTAAAGTGGACGTTTGGAATCATGAGCCGGTGACTCCTCGGTCAACTGAGATTCTTTAACTCAAGCATCTGTTTTGTTTTGGTCAGTCAGTGAGCAGTGTATCTCAGGGGACATTTAGGTTTCCAACAGCAGCTGAGAAAAAGAATGCTGCTCTTTTTTTATGCTGCTCTCTATCTTAAGTCGTCCTGTCCGCCTGGTGAAAACATCGGTGACGTGTAGTGCCTGAAACCTTCATTTAGTCTTATTCAGAGTCAAATAATGATAAAATAAACATTTACTGGGGTGTGGATACAGAGTAGGGACGTCACGATATGACATTTTGGTGCCACAATTATTGTCAGAGGAAATATCACGGTTTCACGACACACAACAAACAATATATAGTGAATAATATAGCTAATGAACTAAAATATATATTATCATCATCAACAATATGCAGTTTAAAGTGTAACGTTTGGGTATTTAAAGGTAATTTATGTAAGCTATGTTATTTAGTTGCCTTATTGTGGAAGGTTGGTCAGTGAATTTGTGTTTCCTGTCATCATAAGCAGTGTGTCTGCATAGGACTTTTATTGTGAAGGGTCACCGACGGAAGTTGTTCTGTTTTGGGAGCGAAGTATTGACTAGTGAAAAAGTAAAACAGGAAAACTGTCCTGGTTCAGGCCACATTCAGGTGTATAAAAAGTACAGGTGAATTAAACTCCTAGCTACGCGCGGCGCAAACACAAATTCCGTGACTCGCAAGGGCAGGACACCATAGTTAGATATCGTAGTTTTTACAATTCTTACGGTTATGAAATTGTGACGTTATCAAACTGCGGATATCGTAAAACCGGTTAATCGCGACATCCCTTATACAGAGTGATTGGCGTGTGTGTGTGCAGTGTCCTCGAGCGGTCAGTTAGGCTCCACCCTCTGCCACTCCCCATCGGCCTGCTCAATAAAGCCTTGTTAATTGTCTACATGAAAAGAAAGGGACAAATCATCAAACATTCATATTGAAGTGCCTCATTTGATTTGATGGTCAGGTACAGCCCTAGTGATTAATACGTTATATAAAATAAACTGTATTTTCACACTTTGGCTGTGAATTTTCACACAACTCAACAATCCTGATCTTTTATTTAAAGAAGAACTTGTTGATCCACAGGATCAGTGATGAGTCATAGAAATGATCCATTTTTAATGTATATTTAAATGGCACGTTAAGTGTTTAGGTCACAACGTTCATTCTATGCTGATGATTACAGATGCAGTCTGCACTGAAATGGTTCATAGTGTAAACGTAGCTGTCGCCTGAGGTCAAGTCTTCATCTAGTCTTCGTCTAATCTGTGCTGTATAACAGGACTGCAGCTAAATTAAGGTTATTGATTTTATATTCTTGAGGGCATAGATGTCTTTTTAATTTGATAATTGAAGTTAGAAAGGAGAGACTTAAGAGAAGAGAGACGTGGAGATGACATTGAACAAAGGACAACAGTTGGACACAGACCAGGGACATTGATGGTTGATGCTATGTATTCCTGAGATAATTAGTCAGTTAATCAATGGATTGATCGGTTCTCTTATTCCAGCTTTTCCAATGTGAGGTGGAAATGTGTTTTTTCTTATATAAAAATCCAAAGGATGAGACCCTGAATTGAGATGCAGCTATTCTGTCTGGGCTGTTTTCTAAAACCTACTGACCGCAGCTTCAAGCTTGACATGAGGAAGTTACTGAATCTGTGCTGGTGTGACTGGGATATTCTGCAAGCATCTAGAAAGTTCAACGAATGGTCCCTGCTGTATCCAACCTGCTCCCCGGCGACACCGTTTATATCAACAGCTCCAGTTAATCCGCATCTAAACTACCATTACAGACATTTAGCTACCATCACTCTTTGTCTTCCTCAGCTGCTATTGCTGCTTAAAAAAGCATACATTTCTTTTAGCTGCACAAAGAAGCAGACGGCTCGCACATTAGAAAGCACTTCACCACTCAAAACTCCTCAGGTTATTTGCATAACAAACCAGTCTAAATAGATTATATTTCCTGATATGAAAGTATAATTGATACGGTTGGAGAACAGATCACTCATGGGCATAAAGGGAATGAAAGAATCTTTTGTTTTCACCTAAATTTCTCCTTTTCTTTTCACTCAGGTCCATTATACAGTCACTTCAACTAATTTGCAGCTCAAATACGCCCGTCAATATGTTGCTAACTTGGACAGACGGCAGTAGCATGCTCCTTGAGTTGTTCTGTCTTCTGTATTGACTCTCTTTTTTAACATGAGAGTAAAGCCATAGCACCAATTACCCTTTGTTTCAGGCAAGGGCAAGATTATTTCTCTACCCTCTTGCGGTACACTTCACCAATAAATTATCTTGACCTCAGGCATTTCAGTGACTCCTCTACCAACTGACCAATGACCGGATCTTGATTAAAAAAACAAAACAAAAACCTGACGTATTTAGGGGAAGGATATTTATATGTGGGTGGTGCAGATCCAAATCAAAATCCAGATATAGTGAATTTAAATGTGTTTCCATAAGGGGACTGTTGTCCTGCAACTAATTTGCATCTGTGGTCCCTGCATGGGACACTGTGGTGTCATTGAAGTAATCTGATGAGATTACTTTGGAATCATTTCCATGTCTTTTTCTTTCAAGAAATAGACTATMMTCAGTTATGCCCTTGTAATTTGCCTTTTATTCTCTTCCATTCTGTTCTTACACCACAGTGCATGCTGCATGCTGCTGCTCTGAGCTGTAGACCTTTATAGCTTAGCATATGATTGAACATAATGGCCCATTATTTATTTGCTGGTTGAGAGTGGGCTCTTTGCCAGCCTCTTCAGGGTTCCTGCTGTGGACATATGGTCTCACAGATAGCCATGCTGGATATTAAGGACTGTGTCACTGTTGTAGCAAAAGAAAAGGGTGGAGAGGATGTAATGACTGAGGCACATCACTGGGTTTGCCTCAGCTTGAAAAGGTTGTGGAGGAAATATGGGAATTTGAATCAGTTTTGATTTCAAAGTAAAGTTACACTAATCTTAAAATACACTTAGAAGAAGATAAAAAACTAAAAATATCCTATTGAGATGTATTAATCATTTACTCTTTCAATCTATTGCCTCTTTCCCTTTTCATTGCCCCCCCCTCCCCTTTTTTTTGGGGGGGGGGGGCAAGATCAAAGAGGCTTAGATCAAAGACAAAAAAAGTTGATTTAAAGGAGATTTGATGACATCATCAAAGCATTTAAACTTCGAAGGAGAATGATTTGTACAAAGGCAGTAGTAATGGTTGTCACTCGCCATTAAACTGAACAAAGAATAAGGAGTTACAGTGTTAAACAAGCAACGATTAGAGAATCTGCTACTACTACACGACATAGCTCAGAATATACTGTGTGAATTATTCAGAGCTGTAGGTTGGTACAGGTATAGAAATAAAAATGGTTGGGCCTAAGGACACTGACAGTGTCAGGGCTCTGGAAGAGGAACTCCAGAGAGAAAATCAGCATTTCGAGAGAGGATATCGGCATCTCCAGAGAGAAAATCATCAACTCCAGAGAGAAATTCAGCAACTACATGGAGAAAATCTGCAACTACAGAGAAAAATCCAGCAACTCCAGAGAGAAAACCAGTTAAATAAGGAGTGTACGGGAAATCACACCCGACCAGGCTTGTTTGGAAAACTGTTTGGCCTACTTGACTATTTACGAGGACCTTTTCAGACACATTAACTTGTAATTGAAGGGTGGCACTGATATGCATATGCTATATGTGCCTTTGAATTGCCCTATGGGGACAAATAAGGTGTGTTGAATTTGAATATCGTCATCTTATTGTTACCTCCACCAAAGGAGGTATATGCCGCCTAGAAGGGTGCTCTTCTAGTTTTATTTCTTTTTCACTCAGTATATTCCTGTTAATAAAAAAAAATTGTTACTTTATCAAAAACAATGCAGCATGCTATAATATATCATATATAGATGACTGTTCAGAGTCTGAGAAAATGATCAAGACTTAGTCTGCTGTCCAGGCAACTGAGGAGAGAACTGTTCGAATTGTTGGCCATGGCCATTTTTTGAAATAAATGACAAATGAATAATACTAAGTATGATGGCAAATTTAGTTTGTGGTGTGTTTGAGCTGAACACTATGTTCAAAACCAACAATCAATCTATATGCATAGTACTGGAAGAACTGGTGAGACCTATACAAAATGAGAGTCAGTGGTTTACACCAGCATAGCATATACGCTCGCCTGTTGTCCGCTTCATTCATCCATGTGAATGAACGAAGAGAGGATGCGAAAGAGAGGATGCTGATGGTGACCTGGCAGAACCTTGTAAATTACTATAATAACATGCAGTGGAGTCATTTATATAGTCATTTTTAATATTTGCAAATTGTCACAGTTCATTTGTCTGCGTTCACTGTCTGTTGCAAATCAACTGATCCATGTGAGAGCCTACAAAAGAAACTACTGGCCCACAGACGACTGGGCTCAAAATGCATCATCATTTAGCTGCATCACCCTGAAGTCTGTGGGCAAGTATTGATGCGGAATCTGCATCAGAATTTAAGTGACAATTTGTCCATTTCTAGGTGAACTAAATATACAAGAGTACATGGCACTGTTTATATAGTGCCATGTACTATCTCTGGCTGCTTTCGGACATGCGATGAACTTTCAGCAGTCTCCTAAAAAACAAGAGTTGCTGTGGTCATTCTCCGAGTTATTGCTGCCAGCCTTCAAGAGGCAACTAGTGTCCTGGTGAGGCAGATGAGAGTACAGCAGGAAATTGTCTGGAGGATTCACCACAAGTGATCTCAGAACTTCATTTTGATGAGATACATGCCCAGATACTATAAGGTACAAGGGAGAAAGACACTTTTTAATGTCAAATTGAGATTGGGAGGGAACAGAGTTAAACAGACAACAACAACACAGATCTCTGCAAAGTCTCCTTGTCTCTTGGTGTCAATATCTGGCTCAACACAGACGTTACAAACTTCTTACTGTGCGAGCATGTGTCTCTTAGCCTCAAACAGAGTTAGCACAAGGCGTCTCGCTAAGCTAGCGGATGTCTTCCAGGCTGGCTTCGGAAGAACACGTGTCACCAGATTGACGCGCTGGTAGATTAAGGCTGTCAGGGGAGATGCAGCAGGGCCATGGTGGCATGTGGTCAGCTCTTCCCTCTCTGTTCTTCACTATCTTTGTCTGGATGTCTCCTGGGAGACAAGCAGGGACACATGCTGACATGGAATAAACAGATCTGTGACTAATGGTCTGCCTTAAGAGAATAGAAATGAGATGATTAGACAACCTCTTCTATGCCAAGCAAGGGAACTCTGCTGAATTGCATTGTACGTCCTCATTTGATGCAACAACAGGGTAAACATTGACAGCGTCAAGACTAGTGTACTATAAGATCAAAAACACTGATTTGCATATGTACACAAAAGAACGAAATTAGGAAATAACCCCCAAAAGTGACATTTTTCAATATACAATTTGAACAAATGCAAATTAATACACTTCATGCATGGTAATATTTATGGAAAATCTTTTTCCGATGGTTTCTAATGGACAATATATTGTATATGACAAAATTATAGCACAAAATGTTTTTTAAATATATTGTTGTACTGTATTAAATTCATCTTTGAAAATAAGAATTCTAACTGGGCCTCTTTCAGATCAATTTAAAAATATCAGTTTCTTCTTGAAACATTTTGTTTTGAGTCTAAGATACACAGACATGAATGTTTTTCAGTTGTAATTTTTCAATCTTCACATTACCTTCTTCATGCACTGAAGCTGTGATGCTGCTGTGGGTGTATTCTTTGTGAATAGGATGAGCTTATCACCATTTGAGATGGGGCATTAGATGCACTCAGACATATAATTTTCACTGTGGCCCCTTTCCTTACACGTGAGTTTTATTCAGCTACCGAGCCCTTCTCAATCAGGCTTTCTTCTTCTTCCCCCCTGCTTCGATTGATTTTGACTTCTGTGGGTTTCCAAATTAATGTCAATTTTATGTGAAAATGCAAAAGAAATATAAAGTGGAAGTATATTTACTTAAGTATTCGATGAAAATTGTAGGGGGGGGGGTGGGGCGGGGTTGAGGCTTTGATGTTGGGGCTTGGAGATTACATTTCTGTTTTTGGATTTTTAATACTTCAGTGAGGAGCTCGCAGTTGCGCATCGTCTTATTCCGTATCCCACTCGTCTTTCATTTCTGACTGGCAGCTCGGAGACGCACGCAGTAAAAACACTGGAAATCTCTTGATGCTCTTAAATCCTTGGTGGATTTTGCCATGTGGTTTTGTGAGTCTGTGAGTTTCATGACAGCTGAACTAGTTGTCTCATATACAGTGAACTCTACATGTTGTGTTAAAGGTTGAGCATCTAATGCAAGAAAGTTCACTAGAAGTGCATTTCTGAATCAAAATCACATCACAAGTTCATTTATGACTATAGATTATTGATTCCTCTGCTAATTAACGTATTAATTCATTATATATATTCTCAATGTTTCCTCAGATGTCATTATCACACCCGTATGACATATAAATGTAAATTAGGTTTGATATTTTACCGTTTAAATGTAAACTTTATTACAAATAACCATAAACTAAAAGAAAACACACATATAACCTATAATCTTTTCTCTATAATTTATTATGTAAAATAAAAGTCAAACTTATATACTGATATATCTATGAAAAGTAAAATCAGCCAACCTCTACTATGAACAGCTGATCACGGTTGATTCTTCAAAACAAACAGACTCAGTTTCTGAAGTCTTTTTAAAATGAGGAGCCAAATGATGAATTATTCTATGAAATGTATTATAAATTATAACAAGTTGCTCCACATTCATCATTTAACTCAGACCTGGACAGTCTAATATTCTGATTTTCCCCCAGTAAAATGACACATAACCTAAAATCACAATTTTATTCTCATATTATTTTATACTCATATTGTTATGGCTCCAAACTTCAACATTTTCTGTCTTTTGTGCATTTTTTTAAATTTAAATAATTTAAATAATTTGTTCTTTTTTATTTCATTTTGATTTTAAATATAATCTAAACAAGTTCTTTTAAATGTTTTTTAAAATCTGTTCTCTTTGTATTTTGAATACCATTTTAACAGGTTTTCATTTTCATCTACATTGTATATAAAACACTTTCAGTTGCATTTCTTGTATGAAAGGT